TCTCTTTGTATAAAAACAAATATAGTTACGAATTTAGAATTTTCAAAAATATTACAAAAAAGAAAGTCTAAAGAAAGATTAAAGAATAATTTAAACGTTTCACTTCGAGTAACTATTTCTTGAATTATTTGAAAGATCATCATTCTCTCATCTTTTTATTTTTGATAAATACGGGTAAATATTTCCGAATTAAATTCTGAATTCTTGATGGCATATAGATAAACATTTATACTACAAAATATGCGATCCTCGATGCGATCAAAATGTTAAATATTTATTGAAGTGTATTTTGGAAATGTTTTACAACTCTGATAACGTGACTGTTAACATTATAGGAATTTCAAAGTCTTGAGCAAGCAAATTTAATCCAAAAGAGTAGAGTAATAAGAGGTTATTAACTTTTATGTCAATGTTTTCAATTTCTTTTATCATCAACAATTCTTAGTTTGTACAATTTTCGACCTTATTTCTGACCCTCTGGTATAACTTGAACCAATTGCTTATAATAATCTTCATTAAACTCTTATTTGCAGTTCCATCTGTACAACGATACTGCCAAAGCTATATAAAGAATTTAGCATCTACTTCCCCTTTGTGTTTAAGATTAATTTTGGCAAATTTTTATATTTTTCTGAAACTGAACATATTTCTGAATTTTTTTTTTTTTCTTTTTTGGTTGAACAACATTCATTATAAAAAATAAATATTACTTTTAGCTCATTTTTGACTAAAATCGTTTACATTAGAACCACTTTAACGGTTTAGAAGAAGAAAAAGAAAAAAGAAAGAAAGAGCAAAGATTAGATTAAAAAATAAGATTAAAAGAATGAATTTAAGAAAAAGGAAAAAAATGCAAAACATAAGAGGAGTTGCAGTATAAGTAAGAGAATGAAATCTACGCATTACGTGTAAACGACCTTTTGATGAAATTCATATGTACATGTATTCAGTTATATACTATTTATATTATTATTTTTATTATCAGTATTATTATATACTACAATCGTTGAACAGTGAAAGTACATATTGTGTCATTAAATTTTCTACTTCGAAAAGTTTATGTTATACAGAATCCAAGACAAACAAAGCGAAAAAACTTCAAATTAATAATTATTGAGTATAAACCTAGTGAAATTCGAAAAAAATAATATGTGAGAAAGAAAGTGTGAGAAATAGTAGTGAATTTCGCGTTACTTTCGCTTATGCAATAATTTATCAAAGGAATATATTAATAAAAGCACTTTGTGAATTGTATAAAGAGAGTGAAAGCGAAAATAATTAAAACATTAAGAAAAACAAAAGTGTATAAATTCAGAAGATACTTTAAAAAAAATTGCGGATTATTTTAGAAATTATACACTTGCTTTATATATGATATAACATTCTGCAATAATGACAATACATCTGGAAGAAAAAATGTTTGTTACTTATTCATACATCGCTTATGAGTTCAATACATTTGTCTTCAACACTCCCCGGGTTTACCAGTGACTAAACATTGAATAAAACTGTAATCCATATTGACTGAGTGCATTAATACTTTACGGATCCTATGGGTCTCTCTCTCTCTCTTTCTTTCTTATGTATAATTTTCTCAATACACTACTCGTCACTATACATATAATCGATTGCATGCTTTCACATTTACAAACTCTGGAAAACTTTGCAGAAAAGGAAGCAAATTCTTGTTGCGTAGTAAAATAAATCTTTCATATATTAAGATTATACGTTATAATCTAAATGATATAGATGTTTCTTTTGTGAGTTTTGTAGTTATTTGTTCCGTGAGATCCCGATGTATTCTTTCTCTATTAACTACTTTATTATTTAATATCAGAAAAATTAGATATGAAAATACGCCTAAGAGGTAGAGAAGATTTTTGAATTTTCTAAAAGCGTTTGTTGATGTTGAAGTTTGAGGTTGATACTATTTTTGATCACGCTTTGAGCATCCAACGCGTGTGACCCGTTTAACAACTCTCCACGCTTGTAAGATGCAATTCCAATTTCATAATACGAAATGTGAAAGTATTAAATTAATGGACAACGTATATAATTTTATAATTATTTACTCTTGGATTTACGTAAATTCGCCGCAGTGAGATTTTTCATAAACTCTGTTTCATATACTTTGCAAATAACGTGTTTGAATAATGCAAAAAAAGAAAAATTGTCTTTGTTGCTTCTGAAACTTCTTTTTTTTCTTCTGCCTTTTTTTCTTATTCGCCATTTTTCTTTGGGTAAAGGAGAGACTCAACTAGCGAGCAGGGTCATGGCCGGACATCGTCTACAATAATACTCATGACTCTACACCCACACTACATCTGTTATTCGACTCTTTTGCCCCAAAGCACCCTCATAAAAGTACATTTTATTTCGCTACAAATATAAATTATGGTATTTTATGTCTTTCTTGAATCGGTCAGATAGCCTGTGCATGTATACGGACTCGCATTGAATTCGTGCGCATGTTGCTTGGTGCGCAATTCCGCAATAGAAATTCGCTTCGCGTCCTGATGATACAAACAATTTCTGATATAATAACATTCTCCTCTATTAAACTTGCAATATTCCTAAGCCAATTTCAGTCTTTTTTTTTGTTTTAATAATAGACAAAGAATTAACGAAAAGTTATTCTGTTGCAAGTAATAATTGTAATCCCCAGTACATATATTATATTTTATCTTTTGAAAACAAAATTCTTATTCAAAATCCCATAAGAAAGAATGTATAATATTAAAAAAAGTCAATTTATAGAAATACTTTTTTAAATAAAACAGAAATTTGTTTAAACCTGATTCAAAAGAATAAATACTAAAAATTATTTCATTTATAAAAAAAAAAAAAAAAAATCCAGAAAATTGAAAATTTGAAAACCTCGAGACTAGCTTGGGTTAAGTTTGAGTCACTAATTAAATAAAACAGTGAAACAAAAGAAAAAAAACAAAAATTAAAAAAAATTTTTTAAACAATTTAACAAAAAATAATGATTTTGCGATAAGGGAATGTTCGGAAATGACAGCCTGTTTCCTGATTTTCCATATACATAAGTAAACATGAGAAAAGTTTAAAATTCAATAAAAGTACACGTTAAGGAGTAAGTCACTTAAGTGTTAAAAAATGTAAACAAATCATGCACATTCACTTTCTTGTATGCGTATGATTATCAGAAGGTACTATTTCTACTGCTTATCAATTACTAACATTTTATTTAGTTTCCTTACTTTAAAATTGTTTTCATTAAAACTTATTTTTAAAAAATGTTAAAAAAATGTTAAAAAATGTTAATAAAATTGTCAAAAAATGTTATTGTCTTTAAAAAATATTTAAGATAATCAAGTATTGTTAAATTCAATTTTGTTTTTAAACATCCATTATCGTTGGGTTCGAAAAATGTTTAAGTGTTAATCAAATATTTTTAAATTAAAAAAAATTGATTTTGAATATTCATTTAAAAAAAAAAATTCATTTGGAAAATATTTAAGTGTTAAGCAAGTGTTTAAAAATTACTGAAAACTTTTGTTGTTGTTGTAGTAAACAGCATTATACTTAATCAAATATTCTTAAATTTAAAAAACATTAACTTTGAATATTCATTTAAAAATAAAATTCATTTGGAAAATATTTAAGTGTTGAGGAAATGTTTTAAAATTACTAAAAACTGTTGTTGTTGTAAACAGCATTGTACTTAATCAAATATTTTTAAATTTAAAAAAAAATTAACTTTGAATATTCATTAAAAAAGAAAATTTATTTGGAAAATATTTTAGTGTAAAGCAAATGTTTTAAAATTACTAAAAACTGTTGTTGTTGTTGTAAACAGCATTGTACTTAATCAAATATTTTTAAATTTAAAAAAAAATTGATTTTGAATATTCATTTAAAAAAAAAAAATTCATTTGGAAAATATTTAAGTGTTGAGCAAATGTTTTAAAATTACTAAAAACTGTTGTTGTTGTAAACAGCATTGTACTTAATCAAATATTTTTAAATTTAAAAAAAAATTAACTTTGAATATTCATTAAAAAAAAAATTTATTTGGAAAATATTTTAGTGTAAAGAAAATGTTTTAAAATTATTAAAAACTGTTGTTGTTGTTGTTGTTGTAAACAGCATTGTACTTAATCAAATATTTTTAAATTTAAAAAACATTAACTTGGAATATTCATTAAAAAACAAATTGATTTGGAAAACATTTAAGTGTAAAGCAAATGTTTAAACATTATTAAAAACTGTTGTTGTTATTGTTGTTGTAAACAGCATTGTACTTGAAAGAGATCAAAATATAACAAGCACCCTTCATGGCGTACCTATAAACACATCACCAAGCAAACAAAAAAGTATGCATTGTATGTCAATAAACGAAAAAAAATATTGTTAAATAGAAGTATTTTCCAAAGAGCATTTCAAAAATATTGAAAAAATAAAAAAATCTATTGGTTTAAGCATTAATGGCAAGTGTGAGAATTCAAATTTTGAAATTAGACTCAAATCAGACTTCTATTAATTAACGTAACAAATTGTCTTTTCATCAAAAGAAAACGGTTTTTTAAACCATTACAGCGATAAAAGCGATGTGTTTTGTATCGTCAGAAATGTTAGTTGCATAAACAGAAATGTTTATTGCAGATTACAGCGAAATGAAAATTTTTGAAAAAGCATAAGAATTACGATGTTAATAGCCAATGATGAAGTATTTGGTATGTACAAGATTTCATTAGGAAATAAAAATATTTGAGAACAAATGGATTTTGGTGAAGCAGATCAGTAACATGATGGTGGAATCAAGCAGCTTCTTATTTTCTCTTAGTTTGCCTCTCTGCTAAAAAGTTTATTTCTTCAACTTTTTGTCATAACTTGAAAAAAGTTCTTCATAAAAGTCTCATTTAAGTATTTCTTGAATAGAGAAGAAGAAAAAGGTAATTGTCAATACTCTTTGGGCCAAAGAATGAAAAGACAGTGTTTATAGTGTCGGGTGTTTGAACTCAGGTGGTACTTACGATTTCTGGAAGGATGCTGGAAGCTCCTACTGCGAAGAACCTGTTGCAAAGCTCCGTACAGGTCCAGCATAAGTTGTTCCAGCTGTTGCCCCTGAGTATCAGCTTCATCTTCTGATGGTAGTGCGAATGGTATGGCCATATTGAAATGTGGTTTGCCAATATTAAAATTGAATCAAATGGAAAATGTCTCTTTGTACAATGATGATGGATTTGAGTGGAAGATGAGTTATTGAGAGTTGAAGTTCGTTGAGATGAAAATTCGTCTTGTCATGACAATTGGTTTGCATCAGGCAGGCAGGTAACGCTTCCGAGAGAGAGCTTCGATCGTTGTCAATAATGAAATTTTGTACAAGCTCTACTATCGACGTCTGAAGCGTCTATAGGACGGATCCTCGAATAGAAGCAATTCCATTAGTCTGGCAGAGTTGTTTTTTTTTTGTTTTTTTTTTTTTTTGCTTTCGTCAATTCACTCACAATTGATGCTGTCCCACTATATCACTACAGGTGTCGAAAATGACAAGATGCAGACTTAACTGCGTAAAACACTCGATCGCGCACAATGTCTACAAAAGATAAGAACCACTTGAAAAAATGCACAAGCAAGTTACTCGACTAAGTCTCCTACAGGAACCACAAGTTACGTTTTTATTTGAAAGACTATCAATCACACGTTTGCAACAGAGAAAAAAACCCGAGAACTCGACTGAGCATAGGAAACGAAAAATACGTTTAATCTCCTCGAGGTTCAGTGTAGTAATAGATTGTACAGTGCAGACCAATCTTCCATGTTGTGTTCCCCACTGGAGAGAAATCAGCGTATTCCCGATGGAGGGGAAAAGCTGCGCGAGCATCAGGCCATGCGGTACTCAGGAGGGGTTCGAGGGGACAATAACCGCATGTGTAAAAGTGGTGAATGAGGGGGCAGGGAATAGAGTGTAGAGGGGTAGGTTACAAGTCCTGGTTGTTGCAGCAACCAAACCAGACCAAACACACGTGCGCCGTGCGCTTCTCTACGCATGAAACAGTCGTTTATGCTGTTTATGCACTAAGACAGTCTACTACAGTGATCGGTGCTTTACTGTTGAGGAGAAAAATAAGCGCTGGCCACGCCGATCACACAAGTACAACCAGTTCGTTCTCCAAGAGTTGACCGTGTGTTTGTGTGTCCATGCACTCTCAGGGCCTCATCCGAGAACGATACTGAACGATACCAGCGCATTCACCATTTACCACTACTCTTACTTAACTGCGTAGTTTCCACAACGAATCTTTGCAAGTAGGGTGAGCGCGTAACTCGAGGCCAATATCATGCCTGCAGTTAAGTGCATCGAATGATCTAAGATCGATGACAGTATTGATTTTTTATCATTTCAATAAGCATCGACTTTGCATAGGTTCAATTCTTATTTTTTTAACTCAATTTCAGCCTTCGCACTCTTCTATACTAAACCTACAACTGTTTATACCACTTTTTTTACGTTATACTACTTTTTTTACATTTCAGCCACTAAAAGATACTATTTCTGTTTTTTGAGAATTTACTTTAAATTAGCTAATACTAGAAATCAAAATACTATTCTTAAAAATTATAACCAAATTCTTTGAGACGATTCAATTATTATTTTCAAAAAATTTTCGAAATTCAATTATTTTCAATATTTAGTATTTTCATCAAATTTCGCAAAGGAATTCAATTATTTTTAAAAAATTGATAAAATTCATCTAAAATTCAATTATTTTCATAAATAATAAAATTTCCACAGAAATTCAATTAGTTTAGAATAGCATTTTTAAAACAATTTCGAAACAATAAATTATTTAACAAAATTTTTATACAACTCTTTACAATAATTCAATTACTTTCACTAATAATAACATTTTTAATAAAAATTCAATTTTAAAAAAAAAATTTGATAAAATTCTAAGCAAGAATTCAATTATTTTCATAAATAATAAAACTCATCAAAGAATTTCAATTATTTTTAATATTATTTTCAATTAACCCATTAACGCCCAACTCGTGAAAATTCTTTGGTCATTTTCAAGCTACGTAATTATAAATAAAACGTTTGATAATTTATACCAGAGGTACATTTTTTAAAGGTTTTGGATGTGCTCTTTCCGATTCCGGTGTCAAAAATAAATTTCATCCACACCATAATTAAATATGGCGGTTTTAATGTCAAAAAATACAAAAAAAGAATTCATTTTTTGAAGTTTGCCATTTTTTTTCACCTCGAAAAAGTGTAAGAATAAAATTCTATTTTCAACCATCGGTGCATAAAAATTATACACTTTCAAGAAAAATGAAAGAGAATTTAAAATTTCAAGATGGCGGACCAATATGGACCAATATAGTGAATTCTATGAATTTTTGTAAAACTTGTCCACCATATTGGATCCGCCATTTTGAATTTTTGGAAATAATGTTCATATTCGTAATCAGCGACCCCGAAAACCCCCGAGTAACAAATTTCAGGCGAATTCATTGACATTTTGGCAATATGAAGAATATTGGTTTGGAAGAAATTTATTTTTGACACCGGAATCGGAAAGAGCACATCCAAAACCTTTAGAAAATGTACCTCTGGTATAAATTGTCAACCGTTTTATTTATAATTACGTAGCTTGAAAATGACCAAAGAATTTTTACGAGTTGGGCGTTAATGGGTGAATTAATCGAAAAATTCATTTATTTTCACAAATAAAGTTTTCCACAAGAATTCAATTATTTTCGTAAATAATAAAATTCTTCTCAGGAATTCAATTATTTTTGAAAATTTTTATAATTTTTTTAGCAACTATTCAATTATTTTTATAAATAATAAAATTTTTCGCCGGATTTCAATTATTTTTAATAAAATTTTATGGGAATTGCTCATTTTCAATTCCTTGAAAAAATCAATTATTTAAAAAAATGTTTTTTTTAAATTCTTTAGAAGAATTTAATTATTTACATAAATAAATAAATCTTCGAAAGAATTCAATTATTTCGATAAATAATATAATTATTCATGAAAATTCAATTATTTTAAGACATTTTAATAAAATTCTTTGCAAAATTCAATTTTTTTCATAAATTCCATCACAAGAATTGAATTATTTTAAAACATTCTAATAAAATTCTTTGCAAGAATGCAATTATTTTCATAAATAATAAAATGTTTTTTAGGAATTCAATTGTTTTCAAAAAAATAATTGAATAATTGAATTTAAGTTTTTTTAATGAATAATACAAATTTCTCAGGAATTCAATTATTTAAATAAAAATATGCGTAAAATTAGTCGAAAATTAATCAAAAGAACAATTTAAATATTCATTTGTCACGGAATTTCAAGATTATTCACAAAATATATCAAAAAAGAATAAAGAAAATGTCATATAAATATCACAGAATTATTTATCAATTTAGGATGATTCAAAATATATAATATTTGGAAAAATTCACAAAATAGAATATTCAAGAAAATTTAAAAAATATCATTGTTAACAATTTTGAGAGTGGTCAGAACTAAATTGGGGAAAAATCAAAATATTCATAATTGAAACAAGTCTCAATATTTAAATTACCAAAAGAAGCAACCAAAATCAGGAAAATTTACCAAAATACAAATTAAATAAATCTTTACTGAATTTCAATAAAATGAATCATCCTAATGGACATCACACAATATTACAGAATGAAATAATTCACTACTTATGAAATTATGAATTTGAGATTTAACTAAATTTATGAATAAACTGTTCTCTTCGGAGATTGTCGACAAAAGAATGAATCAGACACGAATCTTCAACGCTTGTTTGGTCGTCGTGTTAGAAACGATCTTCATTTTTCTATTTCTTCAACAAACTCAAAACATCAAAAAAATAGTCTGGAATGTAGTATAACATGAATTTAGGCTCCAATTCTTGAATTACTCTTCCAAATTTCTAATTTGCATAATCCAGATGTTGATTTAAAAAATTTGGCCTAAAAAGTTACTTTTCTGTTTTGCCCAACTGAAGGGGTAGAACCAGTACTTCTTTAGAAAGAAAATTTTTAATTAATTTTTTCTGCATGTTAAATTGAGGGTGTAGATCAAAGAACCGGTCATACCGCTCTGATGTGTCATAGTCAATAACCGGTTCTTCGATCTGCACTCTCCATGGAACCAATGTTAAATGGCATAGAACGTGGTGTCATCTACAAAGTTCATTTTTCCTGTTTATCAAAATGAGTATTCTACAAGAGATCATTTTCAGGTTTTTTCTATGAATTAATTTTACACTTAACATATATTGCTATACATATACTCCTATGTTGTGCATATGTCTTGGATTCCGTCTACTTTTGTATTAACAGTAACAATTATAAAAGAAGTACATCTGCTTAAATCTGCTCTCTAAATTACTCTCTAAATTTGAATTAGTAAAAATGTTTTTTACTTTAAATTAGTGATTGACTTTTTTATTTTAAATTAGTAGTTTACTAAATAAATAGTAATTTCTACTAATTTATTAGTGAAATTTACTAATACAGAAGCAAAAAGTCAGTCACTAATTCGAATTAGTAAATATTCTTACTAATTCAAAATTAGATAGTAAATCTGATTTAGTAGAATTCTTCTCAGAAATAGTAAAAATTTTCTAATTGTTAGTCATCTATTTCACTAAATGAATTAGTGAATTTGATTTGTCGACTATTAACAAAACAGTTCCACTAATAAAATTATTACTAAATAATAATAATGACGACTTTTCGTCATTTAATGAGTAACTTATTCCACTAATTCAGATTTAAAGAGTACTTAGATAATCTAATAATTTAACACCCAGACGACAATATTATCCTGCTTTCAAAAATGAATTTACATTTTTATACACGAAATCTTAAAAAGTGGACGGCTATACTGGAACATCGACGATATTTGAAGGATGAAAGAAAAGCGCGGAAAGAAATGCAATAGATGGGACATCCATATACATGATATGGACGGGAAATCCGTTTTCTATAGAGAAATGGATGTGTAAAAGTACCTACGTTCTCTTTTCAAAGAATCAAAAGAGAACTAAGATTTAGATTCGAGCTCTTATTTTAATCGCAAATTGAATTAAAATAGGATAAAAAAGAGTTACAATAATTTTATTCTACTGAATAGAGTGGAACCTCGATTATCCGAACTGTAAATCATTTTATCCAAACTACCATTATTCGAACATTTTTGTCATCTTAAACACAAATTTTCAATTTTTACATCTATTGGTACAAAAATCTCAAAAAAATAAAGAAATTTTTTTGACTATAACCACAGAAATTTTAGTTCTGCTAAATTCTTTTACGTTAAATAAATGTTATGACTTTTGTACTTTGTGGAAAAATGACGACTCACTTTTGTTCTGTACGAGGGATTAAAAAAATTAGGAAATGTTCGGAATTAAATGGAATTAATTTCTTTAATTCCATTCTATTCCAGTCTTCTTTCCGGGTTATTAAGTAGTATATGGAGACATTTCCCTTAGTCGACGCTTCTAAAACAAATTTACTTCTTTGTTATTCGAAAATAAATTATTGGTTCAAATAAAAAAGACTTCTAATATGTGAATGTACCCATGCAAATATATACATGTACATCCGAAAATAATATAAACATATCTTTTAATGTAAATTGTTTTTCTAATGAATATCGAATAGTCAATCAGAAGGACATTTTCTTCTAATCTAATCCTTTTCTGCCATAATTAAACATAACCAATGAAGTAAAACCAATAAAATGTTTTTAGAAAAT